CCGATGTCCCCAGGTGTCCCCAGTGTCACCTGGGTGATGGTCAGCGTGGTCCTGTTGACCTGCTGGGCCTGCGGAGCCACCTGTGCCTGCTGTGTCCCCATTGTCCCATTGTCCCCAACCCCCCCGATGTCCCCAGGTGTCCCCAGTGTCACCTGGGTGATGGTCAGCGTGGTCCTGTTGACCTGCTGGGCCTGCAGGGCCGCCTGGGCCCTGGCCTTGACCACGTGGGAGCAGAGCAGCGCGCCCAGGTAGCCGAAATCGCCACGGTAGCACTCGGGGCTGTCGGGGGGCGGCCGCGCCTTGGCCAGCACGGGGGCACAGTGCTTCTGTGGGGACATCAAGGGGACATTGGGGACATCATTTGGGACAGGAGAGTGACACCGGGGACAGCCCCAGCAGGGCCAGCACGGGGGCACAGTGCTTCTGCGGGGACATTGGGGACATCAAAGGGACATTGGGGACATCAAGGGGACATCGGGGACATTGGGGACATCATTGGGACAGGAGAGTGACACTGGGGACAGCCCCAGCAGGGCCAGCACCGGGGCACAGTGCTGCTGCGGGGACATCAAAGGGACATTGGGGACATCAAAGGGACATCGGGGACATCAAAGTGACACTGGGGACATTGGGGACATCATTTGGGACAGCCCCAGCAGGGCCAGCACTGGGGCACAGTGCTGCTGTGGGGACATTGGGGACATCAAAGGGACATTGGGGACATCAAAGTGACATCGGGGACATTGGGGACATTGGGGACATCATTTGGGACAGGAGAGTAACACTGGGGACAGCCCCAGCAGGGCCAGCACGGGGGCACAGTGCTTCTGTGGGGACACTGGGGACATCAAAGGGACATTGGGGACATTGGGGACATCACTGGGGACATTGGGGTGATTTGGGACACTGTCCCCCATGTCCTCAATGTCCCCAGTGTCCGCAGTGTCCCCAGTGTCCCCAGGGTGTCCCCAGTGTCCCCAGCGTCCCCGTGGCTCACCAGCAGCAGGCTCTGGATGTGGTCGGCGCCGATGTGGTCGATGTTGCCAACCCCGTGTCCCCAACGTCCCCCCAATGTCCCCAGTGTCCCCAGGCTGTCCCAAATGTCCCCAAGGTGTCCCCAGTGTCCCCCCAATATCCCAAATCCCCCCAGTGTCCCCAGTGTCTCCAATCCCTCCAATCCCCCCAAT